GCTTATTGACATCTTAAGCAGACAGCAGCTCTGCCAATATGCCAATATGGTCAGAGGCCACCATCTGATTGCAGCCCATCTTGTCCGGAATGGCAAGGAAAGTGGTCGATTCGACATCCTCATTATGGTCTGCCACACTCTCTCAGTGGCATTCAGCTGGAACTTCTCAAAACTGATAGAGCAATCGTAGACTCATAGAACTGCAGAGTTAGAATGGACTCTGGGAGTCATGTAAACAGCTATATAACTTTTCGTAGACATCTGAAAGGAGCCCTGTTTTGGGAAGCTTTTAATGATTGGGTGTCCCCCCCCCAACCCTTTTCCCCTCTGTATTTTTGTTGGAAGCTGCCCAAAGTGGCTGGGGCATAAGAAATTATTGTTATCACATACCCTCCAGCAGTTCTCCGATGAAAATAGGGAAGGAAAAGTGAGACATTCTGGGATCAAATCAGAAACTGGGACAGCTTCTGTAAATCTGGGACTGTGTCTGGAAAATAGGGGCACTTGGAGGGTCAGGTTATCATCATCATCATCATCATCATCATCATCATGTAGTCCAACCCCCTGCAATGCAGGAATCTCAACTAAGGAAGAGGGTCATGCTGATTATGTCTCTGTAGGTAATTATCTGGATGCACGTCCAGAAGAGTTTGGATTTGATATCCCGCTTTATCACTACCTGACAGAGTCTCAAAGTGGCTAAAATTCTCCTTTCCCTTCCTCCCCCACAACAAACATTCTGTGAGGTGAGTGGGGCTGAGAGACTTCAGAGAAGTGTGACTAGCCCAAGGTCACCCAGCAGCTGCATGTGGAGGAGCGGGGAAGCAAACCCGGTTCACCAGATTACGAGACTACCGCTCTTAACCACTACACCACACTGGCTCTCAAGAAATCCTTGGCGGAAGGAAGAACTGGCCTCTCGTCCGACGCCAGTGAGTGCTCCTGTTCTAGAAAGCCTGAGGGATACATGTGGCCCTTGGCCTCATTTCATGTAAGGTAAAGGTAAAGGGACCCCTGACCATTAGGTCTAGTCGTGGTCAACTCTGGGTTGCAGTGCTCATCTCGCTTTATTGGCAGAGGGAGCCGGCGTACAGCTTCCAGGTCATGTGGCCAGCATGACTAAGCCGCTTCTGGCGAAGCAGAGCAGCGCACGGAAACGCCATTTACCTTCCTGCTGGAGCGGTACCTATTTATCTACTTGCACTTTGACGTGCTTTCGAACTGCTAGGTTGGCAGGAGCAGGGACCGAGCAACGGGAGCTCACCCCGTCGCGGGGATTCGAACTGCCGACCTTCTGATCGGCAAGTCCTAGGCTCTGTGGTTTAACCCACAGTGCCACCCGCGTCCCTCATTTCATGTACCCTCAGTCTAATTTCAGGTAGGGGGGAGGATGGGAGAAAATGGAATGGCAGGGGATGGGGAAGGGGATGGCAGAAAGAGTGGTCCCACCCACCACTGGCTGTGGCCCCTCCCATTGCTGGCTTGTGGTTGGGGAAGCTCAGCTCCAGGGGCCAAATGTGGCCCTCTCCACCTGGCCCATTCCCTGCAGGCAGCACACCTTTCCAAGCCACACCCGTCACACACCCTGCTTTGCGTTTTCCTGCAGTGTTTTCCCAGGCAGGAATGCAAACTTGTACTATGATAAAACAGAGAGGTGTGTTTTGAGTGTGTAGTCTAGTAAATCTTTCGCTATCTCCAGTTTCGCCTCTGGCCCCCAGGAGGTCGCCCAGAATGGAATGTGGCCCTTGGATGGAAAGATGAATATCATTGCAGCCTGTACTTCTTACTTCACATATTGCTGCTCTATATTCCCATTACCAGGCATGATAAACCGAGGTGAGTGTTTCAGGATGCAGCAAATTCGACCTCACATTTTCCTCTTGATCTTATGGATATTGCTCTGCAATTAATAGGTATCTTAGGTTAAGGGCAGCAGCCCCCACCTCTACTAATATATACCTTTGATTTTTGTCCCTTCAAGTTATTTCAGCTCATTACGGTGGCTGGGACTTCATGGCTTATAAAAGGTGAAATCAGTGCCTCATCAAATTGTCTAGTTAAGGGAAACGACAAAGGGTATGTCTGATTTATTTATTTATTTTTTTAAAAAAAGCTCTTTGAAGTTCTGGCATTTTGTGATCTTTGAACGCTTTAGGGAAAGAGCAGCTTTGTGCAGGTTAAGAGACGAAATGAATAATGATCATTATTATCAGAAAGTCGAAAAATTCTCAGGAAAAAACAGCAATGAACAGTATCAAGCCACTTAACCAAGGATGTTGTTAAGGGGTGGCCCAGTGCAGAATTGTGTGTGTAAAACTCCAGATCATTTGCACCAGGGGAAATCTCCAGCCCCTTCCCCCTTTTTTGTTTAACCCCCGTCACTTGCACAGCAGCTTAATCCTTTGAAAGCCAGCCTAAATTTGCCCTTGTACGTATAATTTAGCACATGCAAAATTCATGTCCTCAGTCTGTGGCCTGAGATTTTTAAGGATCTAGCGGTATCCTAGCACTGAAGCCTATTTAAGCGAAGAAAGGTCAGGCACTGCATTGATTTAGCACGGAAACGGTGGCGGCACAAGATTTTTGCTGCCTGATGTGGAGGTCAAACGTTGACATACACACACCCAGTGCTTCTGATGCAAACACTTTGAAGAGTTTTGTTGACACCAGTTTCTGCCTTTTATCTATTTCCGTTCCTGATCCACAAGTTAAAAGACCAATGCTGGAGGAGACAATAGACCATGATTTCTTTTCTCACATTCCAGGCAGAGGATGTAGCCTCCCACGCCCCACATTTCCTCTGAGACGTCTAAGCTAGCCTGCTGCCCCCAGGTAGAGGACACCCACTGCCCCATGACCAGCGATGAAATAAGACTCCACTGTCACGCCCATTGGTTTCTGCATGGGGAATGGGCAGGGATGCCCTTTTGTCCTTGGCCTCAGGCATCAGAAAAAATTGGGCTGCCTCTTCCTCCTCGCTCACCTCCTCATGGGGCAGACGTTGGAGCCCTGTTTGCTCCAGTCAACTGAGTCTTAGGCAAGAGACTTGGTGGGTGAACAATGCACATTTTTGAATCATAATTGTTATAAACACTGATTTATAATCCCATGGCCATGTCGTTTTGAAAAGCAGATTCAAGATGCAATTTAGCAGCATTACCCATGTGCTGATGGAATTAAAGTTGGCATCTCTTCTTAAGATAACCTTTTCTAAGAAACCAGAACCTTTTCTTTTTGGGAATAATAGGATTTGAGATACCCAAACAATAGAAAAACTTATTGATTGATTGATTGATTGAGAAGCAAAGCCTGATCTTTATTTTTCAAATATATTTTTTATTGAAGATTTCTTGGTTTACAAAAGTATCTGCAATGTCTCTTTTGTCAAGTTACGTTTTCTACATGTCAGTTTCATTTGTTGAGACATTAGTGTTACATTAGGGACACAGGTGGCGCTGTGGGTTAAACCACAGAGCCTAGGACTTGACAATCAGAAGGTCGGCAGCTTGAATCCCCACCACGGAGTGAGCTCCCGTTGCTCGGTCCCTGCTCCTGCCAACCTAGCAGTTCGAAAGCACCTCAAAGTGCAAGTAGGTAAATAGGTACCGCCCCGGCGGGAAGATAAACGGCGTTTCCGTGCGCTGCTCTTGTTCACCAGAAACGGCTTATTCATGCTGGCCACATGACCCAGAAGCTGTACACTGGCTCCCTCGGCCAATAAAGCGAGATGAGCGCTGCAACCCCAGAGTCGGCCACAACAGGACCTAATGGTCAGGGGTCCCTTTACCTTTACCTTTAGTGTTGCATTAGGAGGAAAAGGGGGGAAGAGGTGGAGGGGGGAATGGTGAGTGGGGTGGGGGTGGGATGACAATGCTTCTTAGTGTATGTGTGGGGTTTTGTGTCAGTGTCACCTGTGTGGGTTCTCTTTACTATTCGCTTGTGTTCCTTTGGTGGTGAGAGATAAAAAATATTTTATGTATGCATCCACAGCAGTCCAAATTATTTTAGCCCAAAGACGGAATAGATAAAACCCCTGCCAAAGAAGAATGGCAGCAAAAACTGTTGGAATACGCAGAAATGGCAGAACTTACCAGAATAATAAGAAATCAAGATGACAAGAGTTTTTAATTTAGAGTGGAAATTGTTTATTGAATATTTTAAAAATGAATTTAAACAGATCAAATCATTAGCAGGATTAATGTAAAGACGTGCAGTGATATAAAACTAATTTTGTAATAGTGGATAAATAATAATTAGGTTTAACTTGAAGATGCAGCAGATATCTTATAAACGTAAGTAAATACAGAAAGGGAGGGAGGTTGAAATGGGGTATTGAAATTCAGTGCGAAATTGTTTTGTTTGATGTGAAATGTAAAATGAAAAATAAATTATAAAAAGAAACAGAAAATAAGTTGGTATTTCTTTATCCAGTACCAGAAATAGCCCAAAGTTCCTCCAGCCTCCAGTTTTTTTGCTTTGGGTTTTGTTTGTACTATTGCCTCGTTTGCATCTCAGCAATATTATTTTCTAATTCAGACAGACTTCCTCACCCACCCAATTTCTTAACTGCAATCTTCTGTTGGTTCGATAAGGGGATGTGGAATGCTTTAAAAGAACGAAACAGGAAAACCCCACTTGGCTCTCTCATCCTTCCCTCTTTACCCTTATCTCTGCCAGTTTCCACCCCTCTGCGTTCTACCTCCTCTTACTCTGAGCACTTCAGCATTTAATAGCTCTTGATAAAGATGTCAGCCTTAAATGTATTTATATAACGGTTCAGACTCAATCACCTTAAATGGTCATTAGTATTCTATCAGCCTCCATTTCCTGTTGATGCGTCTCTTTGTCTTCAGTTAACAGTTATTTCTTTTGTAGGATATAAGAGGATGTTTTCAGCATCAACCCAGACGCTATTAAAACACTTATAAACGTCAAGTGGGGCTGCCCCCCCCCCTTGTGAGGTTCCTTTGTTTTTTAATGCCTGCAAGGCAGACAAAATCCAGCAGTTTTCTTCTGACATGGAGAAAGGGAAATGCACTGCCTGCTGGATTTCTGCTTTTTCGGGAGAAAAGGGAAACACGTGTAAGGTTGAATCACGCAGGCAGAAGATAACCATGTTCTCCTTATACAGGCAAGTACAGGGGTCGGTCTTTCCCAGACTTGTCTTTTGTTGTTGTTGTTTAGTCATTTAGTTGTGTCCGACTCTTCGTGACCCCATGGACCAGAGCACACCAGGCACTCCTGCCTTCCACTGCCTCCCTCAGTTTGGTCAAACTCATGCTGGTAGCTTCGAGAACACTGTCCAACCATCTCGTCCTCTGTCTTCCCCTTCTCCTTGTGCCCTCCATCTTTCCCAACATCAGGGTCTTTTCCAGGGAGTCTTCTCTTCTCATGAGGTGGCCAAAGTATTGGAGTCTCAGCTTCACGATCTGTCCTTCCAGTGAGCACTCAGGGCTGATTTCCTTCAGAATGGATAGGTTTGATCTTCTTGCAGTCCATGGGACTCTCAAGAGTCTCCTCCAGCACCATAACTCAAAAGCATAAATTCTTCGCCGATGGTCCAGCTCTCACTTCCATACATCACTACTGGGAAAACCATAGCTTTAACTATACGGACCTTTGTTGGCAAGGTGATGTCTCTGCTTTTTAAGATGCTGTCTAGGTTTGTCATTGCTTTTCTCCTAAGAAGCAGGTGTCTTTTAATTTCGTGGCTGCTGTCACCATCTGCAGTGATCATGGAGCCCAAGAAAGTAAAATCTCTCACTGCCTCTATTTCTTCCCCTTCTATTTGCCAGGAGATGCCAAACATTGAACCTGGAACTTTTTGTGGGCAAAGCACCAGCCCTACCATTGAACTACATTCCCACCCTCAAAGCTTAACAGTAGGTGCCTGCAGAAGACCCATTGTAATAATAATAATAATTTATTATTTATACCCCACCCATCTTGCTGGGTTTCCCTAACCACTCTGGGTGGCTTCCAACAAAATATTAAAAATACATTAAGCTTTGCTTCAACAAAGCTTACGCAGAAGTCAAATTGTATCTGGTCTTTATTGAGCATTTGTTCCCTCTGCCGAGCAGTTAAATGTCAAGGGGAATTCATCCTGGTGAGGTCTTTCCATTGGTGATTTGTTCACCCCATGCATTTCCCCGCCACGTTTCAGAAAGCAAAAACAGACACGGGTTTGTTTGCCTTTTAAAAATAGATTTGTTCATAGAATCATAGAGGTGAGTCCTAGGGTCATCTAGTCCAACCCCCTGCAATGCAGGAATGTCAGCATCCAAGACAGACGGCTATCCAACCTCTGTTGTGCTAGGTTGCCAGAGAACTGCAATTCACTTCAGTTGCACAAACTTAAATCTTCCTTCCTGCAAAATAGTGGCAGTCTGGAAGTGCCCTATAACTACAGTGGTACCTCGGGTTAAGTACTTAATTCGTTCTGGAGGTCCGTTCTTAACCTGAAACTGTTCTTATCCTGAGGTACCACTTTAGCTAATGGGGCCTCCCGCTGCCACGCCGCCGGAGCATGATTTCTGTTCTCATCCTGAAGCAAAGTTCATAACCTGAAGCACTATTTCTGGGTTAGCGGAGTCTGTAACCTGAAGCGTATGTAACCTGAGGAACCACTGTATTAGAAATAAAGGCTCCATCTTCAGGTGTGCTATGCAAAACGGTCGAAGCTCATCCCCATATGAACTGACCTGGACCCTGCGGTCATCATCTGAGGCCCTTCTTCATGCGCCTCCTTCCACAGGAGGTCCCACAGGTGGCAACACGAGAACGGGCCTTCTCCGCGGTTGCTCAACATTTGTGGAATGCTTTTCCCAGAGAGGCTTGTCTGGTGCCCTCACTACGTAGCTTTGCACACCAGGCGAAAATGTTTCTCTTCCACCAGGTCTTGGGCTGGTTAACATTCTATGGCCTTTTAAATGTGTTGCTGGGAGGGGTTTTTTGTCTTGTTTTTGTCTTTGTGTTATTACACATTTGGTGTTTTCCTTTTGTATTTTTATGTTGCGAACCGCCCTGCGGGATACAAATTTAAATGATAAAAATTTATATTTTGACAACAATCTCCCAGCCCTAGGGGGATTGAACCTGCAACCTTTTGCATGATGAGCACATTCTCTTCCACGGAGTTATAGCCTTTCCCAAGTTTCCTTGCATTAAAAAAAGCCTGTCTCCTTTCATAGTGTGGAATTTTGCAACCACCGTTCCGGGGTTGTTTGGCGTGGTTTTTTGGTTGTGTGCCAACAGTACTGCTTCCCTTGAAAGGGACTTGCACTTTGTTTATAATCACAGACTAAGGCTGTGTGCAGTGCCAGATTTACGTATAAGCTAAACAAGCTATAGCTTAGGGCCCCACTCTCTTGGGGGCCCCAAAAAAATTTAAAGGGGAAAAAAACTGGATGTACATTTCCAAAATATAAGATAAAAAACAAATAAAATAAAAGCTACATACAGCAACAGTGTTTTGTTTTGTGTAGGCTTCTATGATGTAAGTAATGAGCCCTGCCTGCTAGCCTGCTCCCTAAAATATATTGCTCATTTCTATATCAATTACTTTGATAAAATACATATTTTGTTATGTGCAAATGGCTTTAGATACCTATGACGTCCATAAATTACCATATAGCATATATTCAATACAAAAAACAGCGACAATTGGTTGTTGACAAAGGACAGCTGGACATATAAAGGGCCCCATTCCTTTCAGTAGCTTAGGGCCTCATCAAACCTAAATCCGGCCCTGGCTGTGTGCACTCAACGTTATATTCTACATGCAATGCACATTGAGGTCTTGTTTCTCCTACCTAGTCCACACACAACCCAGACCCATGGCATCTTTTATGAAGAGCGTTTTCTCCAACCCGTTTCCTTCCAAAAATAAAAGCTCAGTGCAGACTGATCCTGCGTTACCACACAGTGTGTCCATCTGAAAGTGGATGGAGGTGGACTCAGCATTGTGGGGTGTATCCACACCTGCCCAGTGATGTTGTGGGTGGGCATACACCAAGATCACAATCACCACTCCCTTCCTTATTCATGGGTGGTAAGCAAAAGGTGTTGTTGTTGTTGTTTAGTCGTTTAGTCGTGTCCGACTCTTCGTGACCCCATGGACCAGAGCACGCCAGGCACTTCTGTCTTCCAATGCCTCCCGCAGTTTGGTCAGACTCATGTTTGTAGCTTCGAGAACACTGTCCAACCATCTCGTCCTCTGTCGTCCCCTTCTCCTTGTGCCCTCCATCTTTCCCAACATCAGGGTCTTTTCCAGGGAGTCTTCTCTTCTCATGAGGTGGCCAAAGTATTGGAGCCTCAGTTTTAGGATCTGTCCTTCCAGTGAGCACTCAGGGCTGATTTCCTTAAGAATGGATAGGTTTGATCTTCTTGCAGTCCATGGGACTCTCAAGAGTCTCCTCCAGCACCATAATTCAAAAGCATCAATTCTTCGGCGATCAGCCTTCTTTATGGTCCAAAGCGAAAGGTATGGATAAGCAAATCAAGGGGTGGGTTTTCAAATATCTATCAGGTTATCATATCCATCTTGGCAGATGGCAGGATTTGGAATTAAACTAGCTTGAAAGCAGCAGGTGAGGGATGAGCATGCACAGCCCTGAGAAAAACTAATTATCTGCATTGTAAACTGACGCAGCCCAGAGGCTACAATTCTGTACTTACCTTGTTGTTGTCGTTTAGTCATGTCCGACTCTTCGTGACCCCATGGACCAGAGCACGCCAGGCACTTCTGTCTTCCACTGTACTTACCTACTTGAGAGCAATCCCCCCACTAAACTCCACGGGATTTACTTCTGAGTAGACATGCCTAGGATCGTGCCGACAATATCTGGGCTGTGAGAAATTTTTTTTGTTGGGGGTTAGTGGTGAAAAGGGACTTGCATATGTTGAGATCAGCCATGAAGGTCTTGGCTCGTGATTGATTTTCCTATAGAGAACCAGCTGATTCCTCCAGGAACCATTATCCTTTTGAGACTATCCTGGGGCTCCCTCTGGCGGCCACTTCAACTTGACTTTTGTGCAGCCCGGCGAACTGTCCCATGAAGAGTGCATCCACCCATTTAAAGAAATAAACACTGCATTTATTTAACGGGGAATATATTGCTTCTCTGGCAGCTTCCCATTGACACCTGGACCCAATTCAAAAGGCTGATTGTTGAGGACACGCGGAAATTCACGAGCAAAGAGTGTGGGGAGGGGAGCACACTCACCAAATCCCAATTCCACTGTCCATATCCTTTAAGAACATAAGAAGAAGCCAGCTGGATCAGGCCAATGGCCCGCCTAGCCCAGCATCCTGTTCTCACAGGAGCCAACCAGATGCCCCAATGGGAAACCTGTAAGCAGAACCTCAACACAAGAGCCCTGTGATTCCCAGAAACTGGTATTCAGTGGCATGATCCCTCTGGCGGTGGAGGCAGAACGGAGCCCAGCAGGTGAGAGAACCTTCTTGGTGAGACAGCTTTGTGTTCCAGGATCCCTCATAGAATCGCAGAATTGGAAGGGACCATGAGGGCCATCTTGAGAGTCCCATGGACTGCAAGAAGATGAAACCTATCCATTCTTAAGGAAATCAGCCCTGAGTGCTCACTGGAAAAACAGATCGTGAAGCTGAGGCTCCAATACTTTGGCCACCTCATGAGAAGAGAAGACTCCCTGGAAAAGACCCTGATGTGGGCAAAGATGGAGGGCACAAGGAGAAGGGGACGACAGAGGATGAGATGGTTGGACAGTGTTCTTGAAGCTACCAGCATGAGTTTGACCAACTGCGGGAGGCAGTAGAAGACTGGTGTGCTCTGGTCCATGGGGTCATGAAGAGTCGGACACGACTAAACGACTAAACAACAACAACGAGGGCCATCTAGTCCAACCACTCTGCAAGTCAGGAATCTTTCGCCCAACGTGGGGCTTGAACCCACAACCCTGAGGTGAAGAATCTCATACTCTACCGTCTGATCCATCTCAGTAGGGATGGCCTCCCCATGGTCTGTCCACCTGAGGGCTCCATGTGTTGGTAGAAGGGAAGCAAGGTGTTCCCCAACACTGTTCACACAAACCTGCTTTAGCAGTTTCTAAAGCTCTGAAGACCCAGCATATCTTTAGAGAGGGTTATCTCTTATTATTTATTAGTTCGGTGGTGTCTCATGATACAAGGGTGCAATTCTGTGCAAACCTATTCAAATGTGGACCCTGCTGAGTTGAGTTGCACTTACTCCTAGGTAAGTGTGTCGATTGAAATCTTAAGCCTTGTTTTTATCTACAAATGCTTTTTAGTTCTTCACTTTTGCTGCTTTCACCAAGAGTGTAGTAGTATTTTCCTTGTTTCGTTCCCAGATAACTGGTTTCATCTAAGGGTTTGGTTCTGAATTTGCTTATATTCTATTGGACTATTTTAAATCGCTCAGATATTTGGAGAAAACATCTAATGAACCCCACTGCAAAACACAGCACACCCCCCCAATATATTTTGACCGACCTGCCTTCCAAAATGTGATGAACTGGGGTAGTAAACAGATTCTGGGAATTTTATTTATTCATTCATTCATTCACAACGTTTCATCAGTTTCGATCCCAGGGCAACTTATATCTCAAGCATTTAATTAAACGAAAATTAGGCCACTGGTTTTAAACAAGCTTAAAACAAAACCATATAACCAGAGCAGCAGATAGCACCTATCCATTTACTTCTGCTTTTGTCAAATCAACTTTCTTCTAATGGGTGAAGAGATAAGATTTTCAACAGGTGCTGAAAACCCACAATCACACAACTTGCACCTCTGGGGGGAGCAATAGGCTTACCTCCTCTTGAAAAAATATTAGCAGACGGACATCTTACTTTTATTTATTTATTACATTTATATACAGTACCACCTTTTCCACCAAGGAGTTCAAGTGCAGGATTCTTCCCTCCCCATTTTATCTGCACAACAACCCTCCGAAGTAGGTTATGCAGAGAGACGGTGACCTTACGCATGCCTCCTCAAAGCCCAGTTGAACCCAATAATGGGTTGCAGCCTCAGAAATCCTGGAAAATCATAGTTGTAGAGTTTTAAGGTACTCCAAGGATCATCTAGTCCAACCCCCTTCAATGCAGGAATCCTGCCCACGGTCATCCCTGGGTGGGCTTCTTGAACCACCAACCTTCTGGCTGACAGTCAGACACACTGACCCACTGCGCAACAGGAATAAGCACAATTTAATTTAGTGGGATTTACTTCCGAGTTAGACATAATACAGTGATACCTCGGGTTACAAACTTAATTTGTTCTGGAGGTCCGTTCTTAACGCAAAACCATTCTTAACCTGAGGCGCGCTTTCGCTAATGGGGCCTCCCGCTGCTGCCACGCCACAATTTCAGTTCTCATCCTGGGGCAAAGTTTGTAACCCGAGGTACTACTTCCGGGATAGCGGAGTTTGTAACCCGAAGTGTTTGTAACCCGAGGTGTTTGTAACCCGAGGTATCATTGTATAGGATTGCATTGTAAGCCAGCAAAGTTTTTACAGCATGTGTAGCGGTACTGATTTCCTGTTTGAAGGGAGGGAAGGCTCTGATAACAGAGGAATAGCAAAGGCCAATTGCACACAGGTATGCTTAAATAGACGGGACGCGGGTGGCGCTGTTGGTAAAACCACAGAGCCTAGGACCTGCTGATCAGAAGGTCGGCGGTTTGAATCCCCATGATGGGGTGAGCTCCCGTTGCTCGGTCCCTGCTCCTGCCAACCTAGCAGTTCGAAAGCACGTCAAAGTGCAAGTAGATAAATAGGTACCACTCTGGCGGGAAGGTAAACAGTGTTTCTGTGCACTGCTCTGGTTCGCCAGAAGCGGCTTAGTCATGCTGGCCACATGACCCGGAAGCTGTACGCCGGCTCCCTCGGCCAATAAAGCGAGAAGAGCACCGCAACCCCAGAGTCGGCCACGACTGGACCTAATGGTCAGGGGTCCCTTTACATTTTATGCTTAAATAAGTGGCACTGACGGATGCAGATAAGAGTAGGAGAAAATACAGTTGGAGAAGATACAGAGCAACCTCTTTAGAGGCAAATTGACTCTTTTCAACACAGGAGGAGTGGGCTGCCTGTCTTAGAAGCATCCAAAGTTCAAAAGAGCAAGTCCTTGATGAACCAACCTTTCCATCAGGCGAATTGGACCATGATGACTTTAGCATTAAAGAACTAGGAATGGCCCAGTGAGGTTGCTAGGAACTTACAAGATGTTGGGGCACAGGCCCATGACACAATTTGCCAATGCACTAATTTATATAGCTGCCTCTGGACAAATTAAGGTGGTGGGTTCCTGGGATCTTCACCAGCACTGCAATTTGTAGGCAAAGTAAAAACAGGAACAAAGTCATTTTAAGAAGGGAGGGAGAGGTGCAGGAAATCAAGGGCTCAGCCCCAGAGACCTGATCCACCCCATAACCACATCGGACCCATTCTTCTCACACCAGGTGTTGCAAAGGGAGACCCTCCTAGTGACAGGCAGTGGAGGGGTATTTCAAATCTTGTATGTGGGACAGGAAGAAGCAATGCCCAAATATTCCATCTCCTACCCATATGAATGGAATTCAGCTTCCAGGGAGTGGAACCAGGCATTTGACTCAGAGTAGCCCTGCAGGCTGTGACTTGTTGGACTTTGGCCCGTCCACGTCAATCAGTTATCCAGTGGAGATAAACCATATGAAGATAACCAGATTTTAAGCCACAAAGTTTCATAAGTGTTTTCTGGTTGACCAAATTCCCTGGGCAGGTTATCTTCCCCTTTTAGACATCTCCCAACATTTATTTGCACCATCAGGAACAGGCTGGTCATTTCGTTCTCATTTACAGGTGGACATGAGTTCTTCTTGGTTGAGCCATCAACAGCCGACTGAGAACCAAGACTTACACTTGCTCTTCCGATCTGCTGGGGTCCAGTCTCCTGACAGGCACCACCTGTGTGGATTTGCAGCACCCGGCACAGATGTATTTCAAGAAACACAGGTAAGCACTCCCAGAGATGATGACTGTGACGATGATGATAACGGTGGCACTGAATGCGGGCGATACCGTGTCCTCCAGTACAGAGTGGAGCCCCGCAGTGGCAGAGAAGGTCGGCAGTTCTGTGTTCTCCCCTAAGGATGGAAGAGAAAGGCGAGACAGGGTTCGGTCATTCTCTTTAGAGTACACTAGGAGTAGAAAACACGCTGGGAAAATTGAATTCAAAGAAGTTGTATTCCCAACCCTTTGCGGACAACAGGACAGGCAGGTGAGGATCAGGATGGTGCCAAGTCCTATAGTTGTCAACAACTATATGAAACACATAAAGAAGACAGCAAGAAAGGATTTAGTTATACTAGATCTAGGTTTCAAACGGAAGTGATTGAAGGGAAAGTGAAACTACTGAAGGCCGCATACAGCATACTATTAGAATGGGAGATGAAAGATGAAGAGGTAAAATCAGTTATGATTAAATGAGCACAAGATGTAGGTCACAACATTATGATGGAAGATTGGGTTAAATTATGGAAAACTGACTTAAAATTTACAGATTGTTCCCTATTGAAGGAGAATTACATGAAGATGATGTACAGATGGTACACAACACCAGTGCAGTTAGGGGAAATGTACAAAACTAGTTCAAATATATGTTGGAAGTGTAAGGAAAAGGAGGGGACATTTTGTCATATGTGGTGGGATTGTAAGGTAATCAAAAAATTTTGGGAAATGATATACAACGAATTGAAGAAAATGTTCCATTTAACATTTGTTAAAAAAATCGAGGCATTTTTGTTGGGGATTGTAGGGAAAGACCTGCCAAAAAAGTTGAAAAACATCTTCATGTATGTGACAACGGCCGCGAGAGTTCTGGTAGCACAAGGATGGAAGACTGAAGAAACCCCAACTAAAGAATCATGGCAAGAAAAATTGATGGACTATGCAGAACTGGCAAAACTGACATATAAGCTACGGGACAAGGATAACTGTGACTTTAAGGATGAATGGGAACCCTTTACAAAGTATCTGAAGATGCAACAAAGCGAACTGGACTCCTTGGCAGGTTTTGCATAAACTTTCACAAACTTTTTATTGATAATAATCAGCTAAATAGTTTGAGGATCTATACAACTTTGTAACATGCAGAAAACAGCATTCTTAGAGAAACCAAAAACTGGAACTGAGGGAAGTCGGGGGTGGGGGTGGGGGGGTAGGTTTTGTGTGGGAGGGAGGAAAAATGGGGGGGCAAGGATGATATGTTTTTGGATAATATGTCTTGTTATAATTTTGATTTTTTTTTTTAAAAAGGACGGTGCCAAGACCTTAATGCAAGATTGGGGAACCTCCACATGTTTCTGGACTACAACTCCCATCATCCCTGGTCACTGGCCATGCTGGCTGGGGTTGGTGGCGCTGTAACTTCCGGCCACAGGCTTCCCATCCCTGTGCTAAGGCTTAACAGGAGGATGAGGAACCAGAAGTTGTTTGACAGCCAGCATGTGGATGATGGGAGTTGTAGTCCAACAACATCGGGGTGGGGGCACAGGTTTCAAGTCCTTTCCTTAACAGGGTTGCTTAATAAGCAGCCTGTGTTGGGAGGAAATTAAAGCAGAAGTCAGAACAGAATTCCTCTATTGAGATAGCAAAGCCAGCTGCTCCCAGAGATGTAATAAAGTTCAGGAAGGTGTGGCACTGACAGCTACTGCTCATTTCTAATATATTGGGTGAGACGAATTTAATACACTAGGCGAGAAGAATCACGGGCTGCCTGATATTTGCCAGCGATGGATGAGCTAGAGAGTCGGCAGCTTTCAGAGTGACCTTAAGAGGTTTATAATTATTGGTAAGAAGAGAAACAGAAAAACAGAAACAAAAGGCAGAGAACATAGGTACAGAAGCAGAGCAGGTGAAATTAATCAGTAAACAGGGGGAAAATGAGCTCTGTGTGGACAATGCTTCACTGTAGATAAAATATGCCATCCTCTAAACTCCCCTCCGAATACTTTGGTGAACCTCTAAGGTGTTTGTTCTATGTGAGCCTGTTGCCTGAAAAGTAATATTATTCTTCATTCAATTTCCAACTCATCCTTCCTCCGATACGAGCCCAGGGTGGCAGAGTAATAAAATATTGCTGTTAAGTGTCTCCAAGCCCTGCGTGGAGATCCCAGGGATTGGACCCGGGACCTAGTGCATGCATGCAAAGCAGACTCCCTAGCTACGGCGCTTCTCCTAAATGCGCATAAAGGAAATGTACATGCTCTGTAGCTCCACACCAGTGCACACTAATTTATGGCCTCAAAATGTCACCTTCAGAGGGGCACGCTCAGCCTGCTTTCCCTTGCAGATGAAGAATTAAATGCTAGTGGGTCTGCTCTCTCCTCCATCTCTCTCCTGACCTGTATTCACACGTCATTGCTCAAGCACAACTTCACCATGAAAGTTCTGTTCCTAACTTTGTGTTATTGCAAATGAAAATATCAAGGTGACGAACGCAAACTCCAAGCAGAAGTGGGATTAGGAGAACCAGCAGATGAAGAAGAGTCACCGCACAATGGAAATCAGCAAGCATTATCTTTAGAGGGGAATCTGCTCTCAGCAAAACAAAGCGTGCGTAAATAAATAAATAAATAAATAATTTATACCCTGCCCATCTGGCTGGGTTTCCCCAGCCACTCTGGGCAGCTCCCAACAGAATTAAAAGCACAATAAAACATCAACCATTAAAAACCACCCTAAACAGGGCTGCCTTCAGATGTCTTCTAAAAGTCAGGTAGTTGTTTATTTCCTTGACATCCGATGGGAGGGCGTTCCACAGGGAGGGTGCCACTACCGAGAAGACCCTCTGTCTGGTTTCCTGTAACCTCACTTGTCACAGTGAGGGAACCGCGAGAAGGCCCTCGGAGCTGGACCTCAGTGTCCCGGCAGAACGATGGGGGTGGAGACTCTCCTTCAGGTATACAGGACGGAGGCTGTTCAGGGCTTTAAAGGTCAGCACCAACACTTTGAAATGTGCTCAGAAACGTACTGGGAGCCAATGTAGTTCTTTCAGGACCGGTGTTATATGGTCTCGACGGCCACTCCCAGTCACCAGTCTGGCTGCCGCATTCTGGATTAGCTGCAGTTTCCAGAAATGGAGCATGTGGACCTTTTGGGTTCAAAGGCCATATGTCGTCTCCCCCCCCCCCCCGGCTTCTTTATCTGGCCCCTGGGACCCTCAGCAGGCTACACCCCTTACCAGTTCTGTTTCATACCCTTCTTGAACACTTCTGCCTTGCTGGAAGGTGTCTTGGGCTGAAGAATCATGGAACTGGAAGGGACCACAAGGGTCATTTGGTCCAACTCCCTGCAAAGCAGAAATCTTTTGCCCAGCATGGGGCTCAAAAACACGACCCTCTACCAATGGAGCTGTGGTTCCTTGCCCACAGCAAAGGGGGCTGCTATGCAAGGTGTTGAGGGTCCTGACCTGGAGCAAAAAAATGCCAGGCAGCATGAGGATGCAAGGGGCTTAATGCGGCCATACACAGTTCTCCTCTTCCCCCATTTTATCCTCACAACAACCCTGTGAGGTAGGTTAGGTTGAGAGGCTGTGACTGGCCCAAGATCACCCAGTAAGCAGGGATTTGAACTCTGGTCTCCTAGGTCCTAATCCAATGCTTTAACCGCACAGCCTCTCAAAGCCAACTCAGAGAACAAATGTGGGCACATTCTGCAACATGCCATTGATGCAATAGTAGCGTGTTAGTGGCAGATTTGTAATGGACCTTCCCACACACCTCTTTCCACTTTATGGGCTATTCTGCATTGCTCTCCCCCCCCTTTCACTGCATTACTGCCACCTTGAGGGGCCTGTTCTTGCAATAGGGTGCAACAAAAGCGCAACCAAAAGTAAGGCAGAATGTCTGTGGTACAGTGGTACCTCTGGATGCAAACGGGATCCATTCCGGAGCCCCGTTCGCATCCAGAAGCGAACGCAACCCGCGTCCACGGGTCGCTTCCGTGCATGATGTCATTTTGACCATCTGCGCATGCATGAGCGGTGAAACATGGAAGTAACATGCTCCGTTACTTCTGGGTCACCACAGCACGCAACCCGAAAATTCTTATCCCGAAGCTTCTTCAACCTGAGGTATGACTGTATATAAAAAGTTACAGGATTTCAGCAGGGAGTTGTGGAGCATCCACTGACTGAAGACAATGCAGTATGCACTGCCCCCCAAAATATTTGCCAGTTTGTGTAGAGTTGGAAGGGACCCCTGAGGGTCTTAGAATCCAACCCTGAAAGCAAAAGTCTCATGCTCTGCCAACTGAGCACTACTGTTGCATTTTTTTAGTCCCAGTTCCTGTTGTATCTACCCTAATTCTGTTCTGCACTCCACTGACCCAAACTCCCAACTCCCAAGGCTGATAAGCAGTCAGTGCACGAGCACCCCTGAAAGGCCAGCCTTTCAAACCATTTTTTTCCTCACCTCTGCAGTTCACTCACAACTTGGCCACTACCACGGTTGAGCTATGCTCCTCTCCCTTCTAAATTTTTCAGTGCTGTGGGCTAAAACTGTCACTGTTTGCTTAAATTGCTGTACTGGCGTCAGTCACCTGGATCCGTCCCTGAGGACTATGTCATTACCCATGAGGTGGATGGAAGTAGCAGAAAACCAAATGCCTCCAAACCAATGCTTACTGAATTTCTAGGAGCAATCCCTAGGGGTGCCAACTCGGGTTGAAGCAATACACACACACACACACACACACACACACACACACACTGTATTTTTCCGTCTATAAGACACCCCCATGTATAAGATGCCCCCTGTTTCTGGGGACTCCAGTTTAAGAAAATGCGGGGAGATACTATCTGTGTATAAGACAAGCCCAGATTTTGAATATTATTTTAGAGTAAAAACAACATAGTCTTATACAGTGGTACCCTTGGGTTAAGTACTTAATTTGTTCCGGAGGTCCATTCTTAACCTGAAACTGCTCTTAACCTGAAGCACCTAATGGGGCCTCCTGCTGCCGCTGCGCCGCCAGAGCACGATTTCTGTTCTCATCCTGAAGCAAAGTTCTTAACCCAAGGTACTATTTCTGGGTTAGCGGAGTCTGTAACCTGAAGCGTATGTAACCTGAAGCGTATGTAACCCGAGGTACCACTGTACATGATAAAGTATGGTATATATATATATATCCTGGTACCTATTAAAGTTACAAAATCATTAGTCCATCTGCCAGCAATTCTTTAGCTGCGATTCCTGCACTGGAGTAGTTGGACTGTATGATCCTTTGAGTCACTTCCAACTCTACAATTCTGTTGACATCAGACAGGCACCAACTATACTGCCTACTGAAAACTTTTCGAGACCCACGGTTTAGTTACACTTCTTTTCAAATTTGTTTTAAAACGTTTTATGAGCTTTATGTCAATGCTTTTAACTGGCTGTTATGTTTTAGTCGTGCTTCATACAGTGGTACCTCGGGTAACATACGCTTCAGGTTACATTCCTGAATTGCACGGGGTTGGACTAGATGACCCTTGGTCCCCTTCCAGCTCTACAATCCTATGATTCTCTGTTTCTGACCACAGTTACACATCCAGAAGCTGAGCAGCTGGGCTTGGAGATAAGATGAGCATCAGGTCCCCATTGCACAGATCTTGTCTTCCAGATGTGTCTCTGCCCGGGAGAAACTTCTTTCTTCCCCGTAAGACAAAGTGACAACCAGCAACTAGCAAAATAAATTATTGCCATCTTACTGATGAATAATGCAATGCTGATTTTTAAAGGCCTTTATTTTGACTGGAGGGGAAAGGGAAACTACTTCAAATACAGGTTTCTGAAGAGGACCCATCTGTGCCAGACTGACACCTCCTGAGTGGAATCAAAGAACGTTGTTTCGTGGCTTGCTCTTAAAATAAACATTGTCTTTGGAACACATCTTTGTTTAAGAGTCAAGAGGGGAAAGGAAAAAAAGGGGGAACCTGTGCACATCAGCGGTTCAGACACCTAGATAAAATAATAATAATAATCCTCTGCTACAGGCAGTTTTCTATGTTCAATATTAAAAGCAGAATAAAATTAAAATGTACTATAAGGAGGGAAGGGAGGGGGAATGTAACCAGTGAAGTATTTTTGCCAGCCAGCAAGGTTTTGTTTTGTTTTTAAATTTCATTTTTTCTTTTTACAATTATTTTA